TGTACTTTTCTTTTTTCTATCCACAAATACAACCAACAAACAACAACCAACAAACAACAACAGCAGCAACCACAATTTTATTAAACAATAGTACTACTCTTACTACAGAACTTAAATAGCCACAAGTAAATAGAAATAGCCACAGCAATTAACTTTAAACAAGATGCCCAGACACAGATACACACAGAAATGTTTCTTCAAAACAGATTTGTATTCTTAGCCACATAACCGATACAATAGCCACTTAATTAGGATCGATCATAGCCAAGCAATAGAATCAGATACAAACTCAGAACCGGAAACAGGAAATCGTCAATCGGGAATCGCGAATCGCAAATCGGAAAAAAGAAGCAGCAACAAATCGAACTGCAAAAGGCAAAAACCATTATATCAATAATGGGAAGAAAAACATAATGAACTAAAACAAAACCAATTTTTATTTCAATTATTAACTTATAAACACAACAACAGCAACCACAATTCCACACAGTTACAGTTACGACAACAACAACAATAGCCCTAGAAAATAATATTCATAATTAATCAATCAATCAATCCGTAAAACCAACAACTTCAATAGTTATAAGCAATTGGCGTAAAAAATAAAAGCGAGAATGAACCACAGAAAACCAAAATCTTAGCCAGGCAAAAGTTTTGAGCATATTTTTCATTATTTTTACAACAAACTGATGTAAGTACAATTCATAAAATTAGACTTTTGGTAAACTATAATACAGAAAATAGAGCAGAAAAACCATTTTTTTTTTGTGCATTAGATAATTGCTGCAAAATTAAAGAAATGAACGATTTTTTAGTGGAAAACAAAAGCCAATAAGCAAATAACAAGAATTCGCATTATTATTAGCAATAGCCCATAAGTACAGCAAAGTGTATTAAGCAATAAAGCAAAAAACACTAAAAAGCAGAGATTTTTAAAAAGAAACAGAAAAGTGAAGAAAAAACATAAAACTGCAAGAAAAATGTGAAACCAATTTGTTCTGCGTTAAAAAAAGAAATCCAAAATAAATATGTTTTATTTGATAAGTAATTTATAAACATATTACAGTTTCGCTTAATTTGATTTACACAAGAGTAAATGTAATGCATACATTGTAAACCTTAAATTAATATTTACAACAGCAAAGGCAAAATTTCTGTTTAGTAAGGCGTGCATAATTGTTATTATATTACACAGATACACATAACTAAGTTTAAGTTTATAATTTTCGTTATCTTTATTATTTACTTATTATGTTTTAAACGCAAAAAAAAACAACAAACAACCAGATATATACAATATATTTACGAATTAAACGTTTATTAATAAAATGAAAAATATTTTAGTTAAACCATTATCTTTTATCGTTTTGCATTCATTTAACACCACAGGAGGCTTTCCGTTCACACATTGCAGAATATAAGAAAATCGAATATGAATATTAAATTAAGCACCGTCTAACAATTGCAACAAGATACTTAATACCATTATACGCAATAGTTATAATTGACAGATGACACGAATATGAATATAAACTGAACAATAGCCCAAAGTAAATATTGGCCATGGTAGCAGTCGGAAAAGCCTTCCACCTTCCTTCTAACATGGCCAATATTTGCTCCATTTTCACATGCAAGAGATGAGCAACAACAATTGGCACTCAACAGATGCAACAACAACAAGAACAACAACAACAACAACAAAAGGCAATTGAAACATTACTTTCGGTTAATTGAGTTTGGTTTTTTAGTTCAGTTCTTAAGTCGACTCTCACCACTTTCGAGAATTGTTTCGGCTCCAAACCCACTCACAAATTTTGGAATATTCCGAACCAAAATCGAAAAATGGCACTAACTACACAGTCGAGCCAAAGGAATCGTACATCTAAACTCAACACAGCTTCAGGGACCAACTAAAGGAGAAATGATTTAAACTTAAATTAAAGAAATTATTCAAGAAAAACTGGTAAATCAATACTAAAATGTAAACACAGAAGCACCGAACGTGTGACGTGAGTAACTAAAGCTTAATCAAATTTTGTGGCATATCTTAAAGGCGAGACAAAAATCGAGGTAAAAATTGCGAAAAAGAAATTTGTGAAACTATGCTAAATTATGCAGACCCGGAAAATCGTATGTGTGTACATAAATGAAGGAGCAACCCTTTTTGGTATCTATATACATATATTATATACATTTAGCGTGTCAAAAATAAATCTAAACTTTAGATCCTAAAAAAAACAAAAAACATATAAATGCAGTGAAAAATTCAGGCCATGCAAACTTTGGATAAATTCTGATTAAAATTGTATTTGTAAGACAAAAACATGTATACGATATGCGAGGAAATTAAAACTAAAACTGGATTAAGTGTAAAAAGAACATACATATTTCGATGGCAAAAGAAAACAACAAAAAAATTGATTGAAAATGAAGAAACCCCTAATTTACATAGAACTAATTATTATTTCGCTTTGGCGGTGACCTTCTGTGTAAATAAAAAAAAGCGAATGCCAAGTGGGATTCTCTACAAATCGAATATCAAATGAAAATGAAAAAGGAAAAGGAAAACCCAACCAAAATAAGGTAAATTCAAATTAGCAAAATTTTTGTCAACAAAAAAATGACCTAGTAAATGCTAAATTCAAATTTATAGTACATATTTGTGTATGTATGAGTGTATTGCATAAGTTCGATGTGGGTGTATAACAATTATTATTAACATTATGCTTATCCCTTTCGTTTCCAAGTTAAATCATTTTGTTCGCAAGACAAACGAATAAGTCGAAACCCAAATTTGAAGCCAATAATAATGAACAAATAAGAACATGTGCTGAACTGCTGAACTCCCAATTGAATTGCAAAAAGAGTTAAGGAGACATTAACCGAAGTGAAACATTTCGAACCAACTCAAGTGTATGGCAAAAACATTGTAAAAAAGCATAAAAAACAGACCGTTGAGAAAGTCAAGGACAGGCAAAAGTTGCTTAAGAAAATCATGAGATTTGTGTATATGTGAACAGAATGAGCAAAAATAGAAGGTATATACAATAGCTGTCGGAAAGGAAAACTAAAAAAATTAACAACTTGCAGGTGGGACAGTCGGAATACAAACCCCAAACAAAACTATTAACTTGTAATGATGTGAACTTGGAGCATACTCTCAGTATTTTTATGAATACTGTCAATAAAACATTAATTAAAGATTACCAACTTGTTTTCATTTCCAAGTGGACAATGCGAATGCTAAAGTATCTAAGGTAAGTATCTAAAAATCTGGGCTAATGAAAAATATGTATTTCATTTGCTGTCAAATTTTAAATGAACGTACATAGTTGGCCCAAAAAAAACGCCAGATGAAGTTCACTTTCGAATTGTTCAGATAAACGTAGATGTTTTTATAAAAAAAAAAAAACGTATAAAAAGTTTGCATCAATTGGTTTCGAGTAGAGCCGCAAAATTCGAAAATCCCCACAATGACCATCCAAGGACTGAAGTGCGACCTCAGCCCCACGGTGACCACCTGTCTGCAGCTGAAGGACTGCGTCCGTCCGGACTGCTGTACCATCCGGGACCCCATTCCCTACGATGCCGAGTGCTTTGTGAGGGACATTGGCCAGGAGCTGGACGAACTGACGCGCCGCCACGAGCGCATGTTCGTCAGGCGACGCCGCCTAATGGAAATGGCCATACCCCTTCGGCGCACCTGCCGCTTTGTGCCCAAGTGCGCCTGCTCCTTTCCCAAGTCCATCGAAATGGTGCGACCTTGTGATGCCCAGAATCACACACGCACCGAGCAACTGGCTCTGCCCACCGTCCGACGATTGCTCCACAGGCGGCGCACGGCCATCCTGGCGGGCGACTCTATTGGCGAGTCCATACTGAACAGGTGGCTGCGCTACAGCTACCTGTCGCTCTACAGTCGTCTCTCGAACACCCAGCCGTTGGTCAAGCCGTAAGCTAAAAAGATTAGATATCTTACTAACTAGTTATGCTTTATACGAATGAATGTCCTTTCAGGAAGAAAAAGAAGAAGAAGACGGAGAAGCAGCTGGCTCGGCACGAGAAGTACATCGAAAAGTTGGCGAATCCAAAGAAAGCGCCAAAGGTCCCCAAGCCGGTAAGTGAAAAGCTATCAAACTATGCAAATTGCTCCACTATTATTTTTATAGGATCGTGGAGCGGGCGAGTTCGACCCCGTGCGTCTCAAGCAGCTGGCCAGTCCCAAGGGCTATGTGGAGGAGATCAAGCCCAAGTGGGAGCTGACCTCCCAGATGAAGGACTACAAGGCGACCAAGCGGATCAAGCAAATATCGCAGCCCGTCGTGCGGGAAAATGTCCACATCAACGAGACTCCGGAGAAGGTCTCGCCCAATGCACTTCGCTACAAGCGTAAGTAGACACTCAACCTTGTGTGACCATGTGTTAATGCTACCATCATTGCTCCATTTAGCGAGTGCCCGCATCAAGGAGATGTCCGAGCCGCTGACCACGCGCGACGCCAACCAGGGACTGGCGGACGTCAAGGAGAATCCATTCGGTATCGCGCCAAACGCGCTCAAATACAAGGCGAGCTCGCGGATCAAGGAGCTGGCGGAGCCCAAGGAGTTCGAGAACACGCACATCCGGGAGAATCCGTTTGCCATATCGCCGGCGGCTCTGAAGGCCAAAGCCTCGCCACGCCTCATCGAGCTGGCCAAGCCCAAGGGCAGTTAGTAGGAAGCGGACGGGGACAGGTCGTCTCCATCATTACCGTCATTATTGGTGTTCTAAGTTTTTCATTTCGGCTACATTTGGTATCGAGTTTTCTATTAAATTTGTCTTTGGTTTTCTAAAACATCGTGATGTTTTCCAAATATTGTTGATATTTATAGCATGTAGAGCTTTTCCGATTCTTTCCAGGATTAGAAGACGATGCTGGAAAGGATTATCTGCCAAAGTGACGCAGGAGTTGGGAATAACGATCTACGGTTTTTCATTGCAGTCAAACAAAGTTTGTCGAATATGTTTGGGTTTTTCTTTTGTTTGTATTACTTAAAATTTAGACAGCTCAAACTGACAATGGCTTTTAAATAATAATTAATTTAGATTTGAGTTTATTGTTATCTTTCTCACAGCTCCAGTGGAGTGGGTCCACTCAAAGCCGTCCGCTATCAGTTAATTGTTTTAGCAATATCATCTGTTTTCGGTTTTTTGCTTTTCAACGGGTAAACATAAATTGCGATCTTTGCAAAATCAAAATGGGGAAAAATAATACGTAAATAATTACAACATAATCAATGTATTACTGCCAATTGGTAAAAACTAAAGAATTCGCGACGTTTGGATTCGGGGCGGGTCTGCGCAGGCGTTTCAATTGAACTAAACTTAAATATTCGCCGGAAATAATACTCAAATGAATGCACTGAAGACATCGGGACAAATAAAAAAATTGGACGTAAAGGAAAATTAAGAACTTTCAAGGTGTTTCTTTCAACAATTCAAATTTTGGCTGTGGCAACAACAGAAACTGTCTAATGTCGATTATATAAGCGCCAACGTTGTTGCCCATGATGTTATAGATTTGCTGATCGCGCCGGCGATGACAGTGGTGCCCATCTAGGACATGTTCAGGATAATGGCGCGGGTAAAGTCCTGCGTGGTCGATTGTCCGCCCAGATCCTTGGTACGCACCTTGCCATCGTTCAGCACCTTGTTGATGGCATTCTGGATGATCTCGCCGTAGGTGGGCAGGTTGATGTGGCGCAACAGCTTCACGCCGCAGAGCAGCATGGCAGTGGGATTAGCCACATTCTTGCCAACGGCCTCGGCGAAGGTGTGACGTGCGCCCTGCAATCAGAAATCGGTATTAGAGATAAGAGTCTGAAGTGGATTCGCACTGCTCGGGTGGAGGAGCGTGTAAATCACAGTTTAAGAATTATCTTTATGGCCAATCTTACCGGCTCAAAGACCACGGATTCCGAGGAGTAGGAGGCACCAGCAACGACACCAGCACCGCCCACAAGACCACTGGCCAGATTGTCCACAATGGCACCATAGAGATTGGGGGTGACCATCACGTCGAACTGATTGGGGTTGGAAACCATCTGCATGGTCGTGTTGTCCACGATCATCTTCTCAAACTGGATGCGTGGATAGAGCCGGGAGACCTCTTCGCAGGAGCGTAGGAAGAGACCGTCGCCCAGCTTCATGATGTTAGCCTTGTGCACGGCGGTGACCTTCTTGCGCTGGTTCTTCGTGGCGTAGTCGAAGGCAAACTTGGCGATGCGCATGGACTTTTTGGCGGTGATAATCTTCAGGCACTCCACAATTCCGGGCACCGACTCGTGCTCCAACGCCGAGTACTCGCCCTCGGTCTGCTCGCGAATAATCACCGTGTCGATGTTGGTGTGACGGGTCTTGACACCGGGCAAGCTGCGGACATGCACCACATTAGCGTAGAGGTCCAGGTCGTTGCGGAGCTTCATGTTGAGGGTCTGCAGGTCACCCACATTGCTGTAGTCGGGTGTGGCCAAGACGCCCTGAAGGAACACATTGTTTAGAATTTACCAAACACACTATTCTAATTTGCTACAAACTTACCTTAATGCACACTTTGTTTTTCTGAATGGAGGCCACCACATCCTCCAGTTTGGCACTAAGCACTGGATTAATTTCGGAAAGGAAGTAGCACTCGAAGTCCACGGGAACGCTGGCTGCCTGAACGATAAGATAAGACAATTTTGCATAATGACTTGGCTTGAAAAGTTATTGAATTTACATAGCACTTTATTTTTATACCCGTTACTCGTAGAGTAAAAGGGTATACTAGATTCGATAAAAAGTATGTAACAGGCAGAAGGAAACGTTTCCGACCATATAAAGATTATATATTCTTGATCAGGATCAATAGCCGAGTCGATCTGGCCATGTCCGTCTTTCCGTCCGAATTAAATTTTTTTCTGGAATTTTTCTGATGTTGTAGAAATTCAACAAAATTAAATAATGTCCCTAGGCTGAAGTTCTAAAGTCCATAACTCAACTTCTATTATTCGGATTTTTAAGTGGCATACCTCTAAATGTTTCTGAAGTAATTCTCTAAAAGTCTGCATTCAAATTTAAAAATTTATTTTTTTTTATTTTTTTTTTAATTTTTCTTATGTTACGATGTTGTAGAAATTCAACAAAATTAAATAATGTCCCTAGGCTGAAGTTCTAAAGTCCATAACTCAACTTCTATTATTCGGATTTTTAAGTGGCATACCTCTAAATGTTTCCGAAGTAATTCTCTAAAAATCTGCATTCAAATTTAGAAATTTATTTTTTTTTATTTTTTTGTAATTTTTCTTATGTTATGATGTAGAAATTCAACAAAATTAAATAATGTCCCTAGGCTGAAGTTCTAAAGTCCATAACTCACTTTATATTATTCGGATTTTTAAGTGGCATATCTCTAAATGTTTCTGAAGTAATTCTCTAAAAATCTGCATTCAAATTTAGAAATTTATTTTTTTTTATTTTTTTGTAATTTTTCTTATGTTATGATGTAGAAATTCAACAAAATTAAATAATGTCCCTAGGCTGAAGTTCTAAAGTCCATAACTCACTTTATATTATTCGGATTTTTAAGTGGCATATCTCTAAATGTTTCTGAAGTAATTCTCTAAAAATCTGCATTCAAATTTAGAATTACATTTTTTTAAATTTTTTTTGTAATTTTTCTGATGTTATGATATTGTAGAAATTCAACAAAATTAAATAATGTCCCTAGGCTGAAGTACTAAAGTCCATAACTCAACTTATATTATTCGGATTTTTAAGTGGCATACCTCTAAATGTTTCTGAAGTAATTCTCTAAAAATCTGCATTCAAATTTAGAAATTTTTTTTTTTTTATTTTTTTGTCATTTTTCTGATGATATGATGTTGTAGAAATTCAACAAAATTAAATAATGTCCCTAGGCTGAAGTTCTAAAGTCCATAACTCACTTTATATTATTCGGATTTTTAAGTGGCATATCTCTAAATGTTTCTGAAGTAATTCTCTAAAAATCTGCATTCAAATTTAGAAATTTTTTTTTTTTTATTTTTTTGTCATTTTTCTGATGATATGATGTTGTTGAAATTCAACAAAATTAAATAATGTCCCTAGGCTGAAGTTCTAAAGTCCATAACTCAACTTATATTATTCGGATTTTTAAGTGGCATACCTCTAAATGTTTCTGAAGTAATTCTCTAAAAATCTGCATAAAAATTAAGAAATTTATTTTTTTTTTTATTTTTTTGTCATTTTTCTGATGATATGATGTTGTAGAAATTCAACAAAATTAAATAATGTCTCTAGGCTGAAGTTCTAAAGTCCATAACTCACTTTATATTATTCGGATTTTTAAATGGCATACCTCTAAATGTTTCTGAAGTAATTCTCTAAAAATCTGCATTCAAATTTAGAAATTTTTTTTTTTTTTATTTTTTTGTCAGTTTTTCATGTGATGATGTGGAGAAATTAAAAAAAATTAAGAAATGTCCTAGGGCTGAATTTCTAAACTTCTGAATTTCTGAACACATGTGTTTTAAATTTTGGTTAAGTTTACTTTTATCAGTGCCTTTCGTTTATCTAAAATATCAAAGTACCAAAAATGCATTTAAAAGGAAAATCTCAAAAACTCTAAAAATATTTTTAAGTAGCCACTTTTCACATATCTTTACGATAAGATAAGTTTGATATTTTGATTTATAATATATAATGAAAATATAAATTTAAATTATATAATTAAAACACTCGTGATCGGGAAAACGGAAGTGTTATCAAACATAATGCGATCTGTAAAGGGGTAAATATTTTGTGCGCATTTTTATAAATCGGACTAACTTTTAGAGCCCTGTGCTTTCCGAATCGAATAGATTGTGGAACACGGATGCAATGAACTAAACGTAGAATTACCAGCTTGAAAAGGAATATATCTTAGACATAAGCTAATCTATTGAATAAGAAACTATGCTAGCCGTAGGAACACGGAACTTAAATACCCTTTTTGAAGAGCAGGCGATTAAAGAGTATAGATTTATAAATCAGCTCGACTGGAACTCTTTGGAACACTGTATTTTAATGATGGTATCTTGGAGGGATAGCTACCTTGAAGACCTCCTGGAGGGAGTAGACCAGCTCGGGACCCACACCGTCGCCGGGAATCAGTGTGCAGGTGGTCCTGTTGGCGCCGTAGTTGTCCTGCAAGACCAATTCATGTTGTACATGTCACATTTGGTGCCGCTGAATTAGCGCATATAACTCACCGTAGCGCGGAGCGTTGACGTGGTGTGCAGACTACGTGCTGCCGCAGCCTAAAACGATGGGAATGGTACGGAGTGGATAAGGCTGGCTAGGATTATAACCTCAAAAAAATATAGAACTGGGCCCCAGCGCTGAAATATTCGCACAGCGCGTCGCGGGCAAGTGTTTATGTAAGAGCTACGGATTGGACGGCCGTTTACCTGCATGAAGGTGCGTCCAACGGTTCTCGCCAGCATCGACATTTTGCTAATCGGTTAGCTAGATCTTCCGGCTGTTGCTCCAAAATCAAATGTGTGTCCTTTGGGCACGGGAAATTTGATTGCGATGTGATTTTTGCTCCGGTGCCAAACCGAAAATTTCAATAGGACCAAATCGACCACGCAAATCAGCTGATTGCCTCTGACTACCAGGGCTGGCGACAGCCGCCCACGAAACTGGCGCTTCCAGTGCTGGCCAACGATCAACTATCGCGATTTTGGCGGGCGAAAATTAGTAACGAACATATACGATTACTGCATAAATCAATTTTGGGGCAACCACATAGTAACCCGTTTTTGAATACATTTGCCTTGCCTACCATCTTTCTGTCTCAGAATAGAGAAATTTAATTTATCCATGATGTGGAAACGAACAAAATTTTCGTATGAATTTTTGACATTTAGCATATTTTTAGTCAATTTATTCATTTGATTTCTTTGTTTGCCAAATTAAACAACTAATACATGTTCTTTATGTTTATTTATGAACTAATCACATTTTCCAATTCCAGCCAGCTTCATTAATATTTCATATTGCATTGTTTCCACAGCGCCAAACGCTCAGGGATTCGACTTGAGGATCTTGAGGATCTCCCCAAAGTATTTATTGGTGGATTTAAAATTGATGGTTTCTATGTATAATTTGTATAATTGAAACTAAACAAAATTTTACAAATATATATATATAAGTGCTTTTTCATTTAAACTGTGATCTCTAATTGGACAAATTACATATTGTTGGTAATCTTTCGCGTTTAGTGGCTTTCGTACAATCTGCTCCTGGACTAATAACAAATAGTAAGTGTATCTTCAAGTTTCTGGAGGAAGGGGACACGGGACATAGTCTACAAATACAAGAGTCCGCTGGCAGCGGCGTGGGCCATTAAGGTGTTGGCCGCCTGCTGGGTCTCCAGCATGAGGCGAGCCTCCTTCATCCACTCGCCGGCGATCTTGCGGGATGCACCCTGGAGCAGATTCATGTACTTGAGCGCCTGCAGGAAGTCGCTGCGATCCACATGGTACCTGTGAAAGATAAAGGGTACTTTCACCATTTGTACGCTACTCGTGCTGAGTAATCGCCTTACCTGGCCCTGTTTAGGATATCGTAGGTGTCCAGTTTGCTATAGTCGAAGGGTTTGTTCTCGAGTTCGTCTTTGGATATGGGATTATCGGGTCGCAAGATGAACAGCGATTGCAGATAGGACAGGAAGTAGATCGGCAGGCCGGCTCCTTCCTCGGGCACCAAAGCCAATCGTCGCGCCACGCGCTCCACATTCAAGAAACGCTCGCGCAACGCATCTTCAGGATAGACACCGCGGTCCTGCGCCTCCTTCGGGACACTCTCCAGCACGGCGGCCACCAGATCGTCACCCTCTGCAAGCATATGGATTTAATATCTGAAGTCGAACTGACGAAAGCGTTTCAACTTACTAGCCACCTTGGCAATGGCATTAATCTCGTTCTTTAACGGGCGCAACTTCTCCTTGTAGTGCACACCAGGAGTGGCAGCGCGCACGGAGGCCCACAGAGCTTGGCAGGCGGCCCAAAGGGCCTGCGCCTGATTGGCAGTACGCTCTGCATCCGCACGCTCTGCAAAATGTTGAAAAAATTTAATTAGCACACGATTTCAGTGCCCATTTCAAATAAATCAAGAATAAGTGGGGATAAGTAGGGTAGGTAGGGTTATATGACAATGTATTTCTTGTTGCTTCTGTGAATATACCTTGAAACTCATCCTCTATCTCTAAAGTAGCAGCATGTTTTGGAAGGGTGTGGAAACCATTATATATCTAGCCAGGCTCTACACTAGCCACACTCAACGGATAGCTTATAAAACGATTAACTTACCTGCTAGAGCCGCGTCCATACCACGCAGCTTGCCGAGCATTGCGGCCAATTGTAGCTTATAGTTCGCCTTTTCGGTCGCCAGCTTATCCTCAAGCTCACGCTTAAAGCTTCGCGTCAGATCGGTCTCCCGCTGCGCCACGATGTCCTTTATGTGATCGGCGTGGGCCTCTGCTTGTTTTTTAAGCTGCAGGCGCAACAGCTTATCAGACTCGGCGTGGATGTGGAAAATTTTCTTCTGGTTTTCCACGGCCAGCTTGCGCCGCTCGGCCTCCAAATGGTATTCCAGTTGGGCGCGCAAAGCCTCCGAATCGTTGTCGCCGCGAACCGAGTCAATAGCTCTCTTCAGGCGCAGCTCACCATCGGTTTGCAGGCGCTGCAGCTCTTTCTGGTAGGCCAGGACATGGGTGTAGGCGTGCAGGATGAACAAGTCTAGGTCCTCCTTTGACAGATTCAGTTTCTTATCCGCCAAACTGAGGCCGGGGAATATAGACTCGATCTCGTCAATGAAGTAGTTTCGCGCCTTCTCCACATTGCGCCAGTACTTGTCTGACACGCTGGCCGTGTCCTTGTGCCGGTAGAGCTCGTCCTTAACGTTGCTGATGTGGTCCACCAGCTTCTTGATCTTGTCGCGCACCCCCTCCACCTTCTTGGCGTTTTGTGCCGTTGCCGCAGCACTCAGGGCGATCTCGCAGGCGACTGCAATTAAAAGAAGCGAATGTAACCCATAGTTGTTATTTGGCAAACGATAGACTTACCAATCTTTTCCTGAGCCTCACGGGCTGCTCGCTCTGCCGTAGCCACTGCCGTATCACGGGCACTCGCGCGATTTTTCAGCGTGTTCCAAAGTGAGTTCTCTCCATTCTCTACGGCCTTGTCTACGACCTTACGGACATCGTCATTAAAGCTGAACGATATTTAAATTTGAAATCACAGCACAAATAGATACGGAAAATGCTCACCCTTTCAAAACGCCTATGGCGGAGTTGTACTCCTTGACGGCCAGTTGAGCAGCCAGCTCGATGGCTTTCTCCAGCTCAAGAACGTCGCGGGGCAACGGACTATCCTTGGGCTTGGCGGCGGGCGCAGGCGCTGCTGCCGCTGGCTTCTCGGATTTCGACACTGGCTTTGCTTCACTCTTGCTGACTTCGCTAGGTTTCGAAGGTTTCTTTTCGTCAGCAGGAGGGGCCTTCACCGGCTCCACTTTGGACTTCTTGGACTTGTCATCACCGCTGCCGCCGCCAAACAGACCCGTCACCTTCGACGTAACAGAGTCCACAGTGGAGGTCACCGTATCTATGCCAGACTTGACCTTATCGATCTGATCGTTGACGTTCTTGGTGATGCCCTTGAATGGCGGCTCCTCCTGCAGTGCCACCTTGATGACGGAACCTGCGCCGGGCACATTCTTCTCCACCAATTTGCGGAAGTCGTCGTCGTATCTGGAAAATGATTTCTACATTAGTTGATGGTTCATTTAAGCTATTCAGTGCCACACAAAAATCCTTTCGTCTGCAGTTTATTTGCAGTTTGTAACGATTTATAAGTTAATTATGAGCAGCAGTATTGCAAAGGACCTGCCTGCCCTTATCTTAAACCTCTATTGTGGCTCTATTTACTTGGCGTAGGTGATGACTCCGCCGACAGCTGCCAGTGGTGAGACGAAGAGGACCACTTTGCCGAAGCCAGCTTCGCGCATATGCGGTGGCGGCGGCAGGCCCTGGTATCCTTGATGTCCTTGATCGCCTTGCTGTCCCTGCTGCCGCCTGCCCTGCTCCCGGCTTCCACTTCCGCTGCTGCTCCCACCAAACTGCCTGTTGTTTGTGGTCGTCTGCTGCAGCGTTCGCTGTGGGAATGTAAGGCAAACATTAAGGATTCTCACATTTAAGGAAACTGGCCAGTCCGTTGACACCCCCGCGCCCGTGGACAACTGGAATTTTTGAGCTTTTCGCCCAATTCCTGGGCTTGGCAGATGACATAACCAGCGCCTCTTGTTGTATTTTCGCCAACCGCTTGTTTGTGGGCGCGCGGGTGTGTGGGGCAACGTGACGATCGATTTTCACGTTATCAAACAGCCAGAAGTGAATGGGTCAAAGATTCACCTGCAGGGCGCACTTGCACTGATCTCGCACCGCTAGCCGATACATGGTGTTAATATTGCTGTGATCCCGCTCTGCTCGTGCTCCTGCTCCTTCGGCTACCGTAAATTTCAAGTCCCGGCGGCGTGAATTAAATTTTGCCCAATACGTTCGAAGCTGGCTCGACTGCGTCAGCGCTGGTGGGTGAATGGCTGGCCAGTGCTGCTGCTTCCTCTTCCATCCCCCACACTCACACGCACACGTGTCCTGCGTGCTTGTTGGTCGTCCTTTTCGCTTCGCTTGCTCCTTTGCCCGCGCCACTCGAATTGGATCACTCAATTTTGGTTTGTGTTTTGATGGGAAAAGTGTCGGCAACATATACGCATTTACTCGATAGGTCAGTCAGAATACATTTGATTTAGAGATGGACAGATGGAGTTTTATTTACAATTTTTATAACAAGTTTTAAATTGTCAAAATTGTCAGCGTTCTACAAATGGATTACATGGTTTAACGAAGTTCTTCAGCTCAATAGTTATCAACAAAAAATCAAACTTAAACCAATTCTTGGGAGAATCCGAATTCATTTGCGATACTTCTTATATAGGCCGGTTCCCATCTCCAATAGCAAGCCTATTGTGTTTGTTCGCTGTGAATGGCAAACAGCTGACTGTTACGCGATTCGAAAAGAAGAAGAGCAACTGCGTTTTGTATGGAATTATAGGATTATTTTTTTTAAGTGAGTGAAATGCTAAGAACTTTCGTCACAACCGGTAAGTTTAAATCAGCTAATACAGTTTACAAGTTAACGGTCTTTAATTGTCCTTAAATTCCAGCGCTGCGAAGCGTTTGCCGCCAGTCACCGGCTGCATCTTCGTTGATTCCTCTGGTCCAGCGAACACAACGTGCCACTTTGATGACTCTATGCCGTCCTAGCCTGTTGCCCGCGCCATGCCTGGCATCTCCTGCTCATCACCAGCTCCTCCAGCTGCCGGGAGTACTAACAGCCACAGGATCACCATCAAACACACGCAACGTGACCAAATTCTCGCTGGTGAAGGGTAAACGAAAGACCGTCAAGGCGGTATTGAAGCGGTTTAAGCGGTTGGACTGGGGCGCCTGGATACGCACCCATTCCGGACGCCAGAAGAAGCTCTTCAAGAAATCCGCAGCCTTGCGACGCCGCCTCAAGCAGCACGTCTTCACCAATGCCACGCAGAGCTGGCTGCTGGACAAGATGGTCACCAACTATTGGCGGCGCCCAAAGCATTTCATCAACGATCCCTATAAGCCCTATCACAGCCGCAACGAGTACTATGCCACACAGTCAAAGACCTTTAAGGTGTGACTTGGCTAACAAAAGATAATACATATTTCAATTATACAAAAAAATATCTGATTATAGTTTATCCAATGAAAACTACAAAATCATCTATTAAATGCCATTGTTTCACAAACTATACAAAAAACATAACAAGCCAAGTGGAATGTCCACCTTAGGGGGCCACAATCTTGTTGCACAGTTTGCCCAATCCAACAATCTCCGTCTGTACGACATCACCGGGCTGGAGGAATTCCGGCGGAGTGCGATGCATGCCCACGCCCTTGGGCGTTCCGGTGACTATGATGTCGCCGGGCAGCAGGGTAATGTTCTGCGACAGACGATTGATCACATCGTCCAGCTTGAAGATCAGATTGCCGGTATTGCCGTTCTGCTTCTCCACGCCGTTGACCCAGGTTTTCAGATTCAAGTTGTAAACATCCGGCACCAGACTCTTGTGCACCACAGCCGGTCCCAGCGGCAGAAAAGTGTCCATTGACTTGCCAATCAGGAACTGACCACCGTTGCGATCTTTCTGCCAGTCGCGGGCTGAGATATCCTGGGCCACCGAGTAGCCGAAGACATAGTCCATGGCTTCGGATTTGGGCACCTGACGGGCGACCTTGCCAATGACACAGACCAGCTCAACCTCCCAATCGATTTTCTGTGGAATTTTTTTTTTCGGTTGGTTATCTCGATGAGGCTATCTCATGTTATCTCTGGCTCCACTTACGTTGCTCGCCGCATGAGCGATGACATTATCTAGAGGACCCACCAGGGCATTGTTGAACTTGCTAAAGAACAGGGGTTCCTTGGGCGCCGGCTTGTTCTGCTCATCGCAGTGGTCCTGGTAGTTCAGACCTGCCAGCAGATGGAATCGAGTTTGCATACATATATGTACATATGTAAATTCATGCATATCTCTTACCAATGCAGATGATCTTGCCGGGATCGGTGAGTGGTGGCAGCAAAGTGACATCATCGTTGACCTCGAGTCGCGGCTGCTTCTCCGCCTTCTGGGCCAGTTCCTCCAGATTGGGATTCTGGGCAATCAGGGTCTTCAGATCGCTGGGCACTCCCTCCAAGCCGGCGAATTCCACCAGCGACTTTTGATCCTCGGCCAGAAGACCAAGTCGCTTGGCCAAGTCACCTTTCCGCATATATTGAACGAACCTCATTCTGGCAGCTTGCATTTATGACTGATTTACTTCGACAGAATCCTATCGTGGCTATCCAATTAACGCTCCATTGCCAAAAACAATTCTCTCACGTAATGAGGGCACCACAATCAGTTAAAAAAGGCACACGCGTTTTTCAACACTGCCAGACATTAACCCCCTGAAGCCGCAGGTGCTAGAAAAGCACGAATATGATATTTCGGGTTGCAAATCATGTTTCTTTCAGCTAATTTATGCTAAAACTGTCAAGAAACGTCTTAGGTTACCTGTCAAAGTCTCAAAAGTTAATTCTCGAAACTGTGGAAGAGCTGCCTTCCGGAAATGAATGGTGCCGAGCAATTCTTTCCTTGGCATCAAACTTTAAAAGGAATTTTCTCGAAACCATGTTTTTAATATATACCACCAAACGCTATTAACTCGTCGAAATCCGTAAAAGGATTTAAATAGTTATATCAAAATGAAGGTGCAACATTTAAGCAAAACCACATTGCCCTTTGTGAGTTTAGAAGTCAAGATACAACGTTTATTTAAAGAGAGGGCTCAACTTCGGTTCGCTTCGCAGCGACCCAAACGCATTTAACCAAACTCCCTTTCATCCATCCGATAACTTAAGCCAATTTTGTACATATAGCGATCATCTAAATATGCATTCCACCTAGTCACTACCAGCGGTTACCTTGCCGCCATCCGGGCTGCCAAACTTCTCGGACAGCTCGTACTTCCAGCGCATGTAGGCTACGCGCATTCTGTCCCAAACATTGTCCACGGAGTCCATGGCGGGACGCACGTCCAGCAGGGCAAAGCGGTAGTCTTTGTCCACCAGTCCACCGTCGTAGTAGTCGATGACGTAGCGCACATCCTTGCCGCAGCGGTCGACGATCCAGTCATGTCTATCGAATGGCAGCTCGTATCTGTAAGGGAGTTTGAACATTAATTCAGGTCGGATCTTCCGTTTGGAGTCTACTCACCCCAGCCAGCTGCGGAATCGTGCGCGCGGACTGAAGTCCTTGGCCTTGCCACCGAAGCTTTTGAGGCGCGGATTACCGCATTCCTTGGCGTGCAGCGCCTCCCACTTAAGAACCTCCTGCCAGGCCTGCTCGTTGTTGGCATTGTGGATGCGTATGATGTCGCCCATGTCCTTTTGCGATACGTCCTCGGTCTTCCAGCGCCAGCCCTTGCGTAGCATGGCGTTCCAGAACATCTGTTGGCTGGGATACTGCCAGAACTGAACACTGCCATCCTCGGTGACCTTGGGAATGGTCGACGTCTGGCGGTCGGTGGGCAGTGGGAAGGGCTGATCTGCCGCCGGCTGTTGGTTAGCCGGTGGCATCATGTTCAGCGGATTAACGTCGCTGTTGTCGTGCTGCACCGGACACTCGGAAGCGGCCTGCATCTTGGGATGTGGGGGCACGGCGGAGGCGGATTTTGAATCTCCATGCTTCTGATGCATGGGGCATTCTGGTGGCGGGGAACCACCAGCGCCCATGTACTTGGCGTGGTCCACCGGCACACTCTTAGTGGCCTCCATTTGCACACGGGTGATGGCTGTATTGCCCATTTCGGCTAAGGTTTGCTTAATAACAAAATCTGTGTCACGAGGAAAATCCCATTAGTTCTCAGTTGCGTAACTGCAAGGAGTGGGATACCCTACTAATGCAGGGCCCCATCGCCAGGACTTACTCGGTTCTAATGCTCAACCCTCTCGATGTTTGTCTATCTTCTCCTGGAGCCAGTAGCCTTTAATTTTGATTGATATTTTCGTTAGTTCATCGTTAGAACGTTGGAGCCCAAAATGCAGTGAGGTTGTGGACAGGGCTGCCAGACCGCTGGAAAGTGGACCAGTTGTTTCTGCACAGTGAAAATATGTATGTTAAGTTACAAACAAAAAATCAACTTGCACCGTACGCCAATGTGAGATTATACTGTGTGTCGTCTACAAATGAAAAGCATTGTTGAATTTATTTCAAGTAAATTAAGTTGTAGTCAAAGGTGCCAGTTCGGCTGTGCAGTGTTGTGTAGTCGCTGTGCAATATTTTTAAAAAGAAAAATAAATAATTTTTTAACTACAATATATTTATGTAAGTATTATTTCCAGCGCTTAAAAACTGCGGTAAGTTTCATTCAAATATAATTGATTTTACTTCTGACAAAATTAAAAGACGCAATCAAACCATTGGTATGAATAATATACAAATTCCGCGTACCAATCCAAAATCTAAATCTAAATCCAAATCTGAAAATATTATTAGTTACTGGTAATTAGTTTTGCTGGTAATTATGTATTTATGTTATTTTATGTAATTAGATACATCATTCAAATATATGCGTACACTCAAAGCAAATAAATCAATGCAATTTTTTTTTAAGTAAACAAAATAAATTTTTCATATGTAAACGGATGCCTTGACAACCCTATTCGGGGCATTTTCCAACACCAACAGCCGAAATTTGTTTTTGGGTAGACTTCCGATATTTAGCTTGAAAAGTGAGTAAATACGACAGGATAGAACATTAAAACCTACGATTTGGGTAAATCAATGAAGCGCCCCAATGGTGGCCAGCGGGATGGAACGAAAACATCCGCATATATGCAGTTTTAGAGCAGAGATTACCGCACTACCTGTGTAGCTCCTGTGATGTAACCACACGACAAACTGCCACTGAACCAGATATAATTGTTATTATTGTGGTTTTCTTTTGTACTGACCTTTGTTTTCCCCTCAGAATGACCGCCGTGTTCCGCGTAGGCCTGGTGCGGCTTGTCAGCCGCGCCACACAGTCGCCCAATCTTCTCCAGGCGCAGACGAATGCCCTGCCCGCTGCCTTCCAGCAGCGATGCAGCATCTCCGGCAAGACGATGCGAGGCGGACCCCGTGTGCCCAAGGCCGCCCCCTATCCGTACAAGACGAAGAAGTACAGCGTGTTCAATTCGTTTTTCGACAAGACCTCCAAGCGTTTTGACGAGAACTCCAAGGTGATCTGTGTGGAGGGACCCATCGCGGCCGGCAAGTCAAAGTTCGCCAAGGAACTGGCTGAGGAGCTGGACATGCAGTACTATCCGGCGGTGGATCTGGACCTGATCTACATCAATTCGTACGGCTATGACTTGAGGAAGTTGGATCCCCAGTTGCCGCCCAGTTGCCGCAGCTACGATGTGCGCAACTTCTGCCTGGACCCCAGCCACGATTTGGCTGCCCAGTTCCAGATCCGAATGTACATGCTGCGCTATTCGCAGTACATTGATGCCCTGCAGCACATCTTAAGCACAGGCCAGGGCGTTGTCCTCGAGCGCAGCCCCTATTCGGACTTTGTCTTCATGGAGGCCATGTTTCGGCAGGGTTATCTGTCCCGCGGTGCCCGTTCCGTGTACAATGAGCTCCGACAGAACACCATCGGGGAGCTACTGAAGCCGCATTTGGTTATTTACCTGGACCTGCCGGTCGATGCCGTGAAGAAGCAAATCAAGGCACGCAATGTGGACTACGAGGTGCAGTCAAAGGTGTTTAGCGATGCCTACTTGAGCGATGTGGAGCTGCTGTACAAGCAGCAGTACCTCAAGGACATCTCCACCCATGCCGAGCTGCTCATCTACGACTGGACAGCCGGCGGTGAGACTGAGGTTGTGGTGGAGGATATCGAACGCATCGACTTCGACCAGTTTGAGGCGGATTCCCACAACAAGAAGATGCTCGACTGGCGTTTCCCGCTGGAGACCGAGTGGTGCGAAGCCCGTATCAAGTACTGCCACTATAGGCCCGACCTGATGAACTACTTCAATGTGCCGCGCTTCGATGTTCCGGAGCTGCTGCGCAGCGCCGACGACAGCAAAGTCTGGCGTGATGTCTGGTACAATGTGAGTGCGGTGTTTCCATTAACCAGTTCGATTTATTTTAACATTCATACTGCCCCTTCGCATACAGGCTCCCGGCATGAAGTATCGTCCTGGCTACAATGCAGAACAGGGCGACAGCGGTCTCCTCACCAAGACGAAATTGGGCATCAACGAGGCCATCTAAAGGGTTTTTGCTATGCTTTCGAGTTGAAATCATCTGGCGAAATGTGTTAATTATCTAATAAACAATCTAGTAAAATAGAGAGAACGCAATTACTTAGAAGGCGAATGTAGCTCGAACTCGATTGTAAATACTTACATTTAATACAAAAGAACTCGACAATTTGGGTTAGTTTATAATTTCCTTACAAGAACTTTAGGTTTACTTAATCATGAATAACTAAACATATTTCGGTTCAGTCCAGTTTCATTGATCAACCAGAGATTAATTTGTGGAATTTGTTTAATTTATGCATTATATTAGAGAATATTTTGTACACATTTAGCACTATAACTCCGGTTGCGCTATGGAACATTTGGGAATTCGTTTTCCCACGGATACTTCAATCGCTGTCGTAATCGTTCTTTCCAGCACCGCCGCCCACAGAGGTGAGCGGTCGCCGGGACTCCTCATCGGATCCGTAGACTACGTCCTCGTCGGAATCGTCGATCATGGAAATAGCCGGATTATCCTTAGTAACAGCCAGCTCCGCCTGGGCGAACCGTCCATCTGGCGAGTACACATACGCCATGGTGTACAGGTAAAAGTTAAGCAGTCCGTAGAAGCACATAAACTGCGCCGAGCTGCGATAGGTGGTGTTGAGTGAGGCGACAAAGTTGTCCTCCAGGATGCCGAAGCCAAAGCGACACGTCGTCACCGTGATGGATATGCACAGGACGAACAGCATGAGTAGCGTGAGAAACTTCAAGCGCATATCTGGCCAAATGTCAATAGTAATAAGCATTATTGAAGATCAGGCTTGTATCACTGCATTATCACTCACCAAAGTACGGCATGGAGCGCAGCTCGGTGTACGCCCGCAGCAGCAACAGCACCAGATAGAGTACATACATGCAGCAGGCGATGTAGAAGAACATCTTGAAGCCCTGCGAATGGGTTGGTTTTCTTTTCAGTTTAGATTGCTCTATAATGTTGTCAACCATGTATACCCACATTGTAGTTCTTTGTATCCACAAAGTGACTGTATGTGGGATCCCTCAGCTCGTTGCACTTTTCCCACGTGGCCAGGACGATGGCGCACAGCCAAATGGGCAGCACGACGATCACCTTGACCAGGTAGAACCGCACGAAGCTGCGCTCGTTTTGCCGCAGTCCATGGTAGATGCACAGCCAAAACATAAGCAGAGAACAAAGGAACGTCGCTTGCAGAATGGCGTCCAGCATTCCAGGCAGCCAGGAGTTCATCAGGAATATCAGCGGAAAGAAGGGATCTGCGTGGAGAAGATCATTAGTCTGTAGGAACCAACTAATCAGACTGAAACACCTACTGTCGTACAAAAGCAGCAGGGGCAGGAGTACCGACAACCATCGCTGCTCAATGGACCAATCGTAGATCGGATACTTGCGCAAGGTGTGGGCATACCAGCACTGCAAACAGATGGATAGTATTATTCGATATTTATAAAGCCAAATAACTATGTTTGTTATATGCAAATCACTTACTATGACTATGAAGGTGAACAGCAGAAAGATGCATCTGAACCAGATTTCAATCTGCGTGAATTCCGGACTGTAAGTCTTGAACTGAAGGCGAAAATTAGTAACCACCACAATGGGAATGCCATGCCACTCACGTAAAATGTTATGCTGCGTATATTATACTTCTGATGGAACGACTCCAAGCCGTAGAAGCGCACTGTGATGATATAGTGAGCATAGTCAAGGAATCCCAGATGCATTACCGTGAACTCCTCGCAGTCGTTGCGTACGCAGACCAAGTGCCGTGTCCGGTTGTGGGCCACTCCGGATCCGATCACACTTTGTGGCTTGTGCTGCTCGTTTATGCCATCGATTGAGACACTCACTTGGAAACTCTTGTCGTACCGCTCGTCTAAATGAGTGCCGTATAAATGTAGGAAAAATAAAACAGCTGTAGTCACATGTTATGCCCACAGGACCCACCATCGTTGTTGTCCGTCACCAGCTTGGCTATCAGCCACATTTGCTGGGAATAGGTGGTGGTTAACGGTGACTTCATGGCGAAGGGTCCCTTCCCCAGGACCGTTGGGCTGTGCGCCAGCGAGGTGTTCGCCAGAATCTGCTGGGCGGTCAGCGAGGATGTGCTGGTTATGGGCGGTCCCGTCAGCCCGATGACGATGCCCAGACCGAAGCAGGTGAAGAACCCCAGGAAGACCATGACAAACTCGCGCTTGTGCATCGAGTAGAGCCGCATGTGGACGGATCGCTCGCAGCGATCGTGGTGATAGGCGGGCGAGATGTACCTGCTGAAGTCGCTGAACAAATCGCTGAACTGCGAGAGGGACGACTTGAGGCGCAGCAGAAGCCCGCCGGACGGCAGCTGGTAGGCGTAGCCCAGGCCAGAGGCATCCGCATCCGAGTGGGGCTTGGCCATGGCCGCTGGCAGGAATTACGGGTGTCTAGCTGATGCTTGGGGTCCTCCTAGCGTCGGCCTTCACTGCATCTCCTCTACGCCGTAGAATTCTTTGGATTTACACTTTTTTATTCAGATTATTGACAAGGGTTCCGCTTTCCATCCGCTCGACGTCTGTGCGCCCTTCGTGGAAAATATCGATTTTGGCCAGCACTACTCGCATATGTTTTGGCTTTACTGCGGGGGTGGCTGGGCCATTGGGTGGTGGGCGGACCATCCGTCGAGTTGTTTGCCATTTCACATGCACTGCGCATGCGGACTCTTATCACAACTGAAGGTAAATAAAAGCCACAGCTCGAAAAAGGGGGCTTGTCATGGGAATGCTCAAGAACTGAACGGATGAATAACTAAAAAATTCAATTAGGCTCGAGCATAAATATCCCCATGAATTAAATAAGCCCAATTCAAACATAATGGGTATGCAATATAATCGATCAATTTACACATCAGTTTGGCTTAAATCTATCTAGATTACTTTGTGCGAACCTTTAGTCCCAGTATTTTATCTGGCCATCCCAGCCAGCGGTGACCACTTTGCTGGCCTCGTGCGGATGCCAGAGGGCACTGATGCAGACGCCGTCGTGCGCCTGCCACTTCTTGTACATCTTCGTCGTCTTCCAGTCCCAAATATAGCACTTGCCATCGCCATCGCCCGACACCAGGTAGCTCATGTCCGGCGAAAAGTCCAGCTGGCAGGCGTAGCCAGAGACCATGTGACCGGTGAAGGTCTTTTTGCGATTCATCTTAAAGCGATTGAGGGCGGAGAAGATGACGATCTTGTTGTCCAACGACTGGCAGGCCATCCATTTGCCATTCGGCGCCAATGTAACCGCCGGCATGGAATGCATAGTGGGATCGGCAATGTACTTCATGTCCACAGGAATGTCCCACTCCCATATGCGCATTGATTTGTCGTCCGAAGTTGTTACAAACCGTCGGTTGTCGTCCACGAAGGTGATGGTGCTCACTGATCCCAAGTGTCGGTCGTATTCCTGCACAATATCACCGCTGCGAGTGTCCCACTGCGAATTGATAAGAAAACAATTGTAGCATGAACACCTACTTTTGTGAATTTTACTTACGCAAATGATCTTTTTGTCGGAGGTACCGGCAACGAACAAATGTTGCTTGCTATTATCCGGATGGAATTTTACGCAGAAAGGCATTTTACGAGTAGTGAATCGGGACACTACATCGCCCGTTTCGGCATCCCACAACTTTATGTAGCGATCATATGAAGCAGACAGGAAGTTGGTACCCCTGTTGTTCCACGCAATGTCCTTGATGGCCTGCCGATGACCAGAGAAGGTGCGTATGCAGCGGCGATCGCCGTAAACCTCCCACAGTTTGACCCGGCAGTCCATCGAACCGGAGAGCAGGAGATGAGCGGTCTTGGGAAACCAGCGGATGGAGGAAATGCCCTTGTTGTGGCCCGACCAGGTGTGTATGTGCGCCTTGGGCAGGAAGCATTTCGGCGGCGGTGCATTTGATCGTAGATTCACGCCCAGATCGTGAGGAGCATGCAAGTAAGAGCGGCCCTGGTAGTCGTAGGCATCCTTGACTGTGGAGGAGACGGGAAAAACATGATTTACGATATATTAAATCAAACGCAATTAAATTAAACTCACTGTGCAGTGTCGACTTCTCCTCGAGTGGCTTGTCCTCTGGAATGCGTCCGCGCTTATGCCGCTTAGACAGCAGCTCGTCCAGTTCGGCGCGCTCCTGTTCATTTGGCTTTGCCACCGACACCTCGTTCTCGAACTTGCCCCAGGGCCCCAGAAAGCCCTCAATGTCCTCGGGATTATCATTTTTCTCCTGCTTGCGCAGCTTCTTTGCCTTGGGCGCCTCGAACACCGTCTTGCCATTGTCATCGTACGCGGACTGCAGGTCACCCACAAAAGACTGCCCGTCCGCCTGCTCGTCCACGCTGGGGTCCAAGGCGTAGCCGTAGGTGTGAAAGGTGCGTCTCTGGTTCTCAAACTCGAACGCATTGATGTGGGCCTTCTCCACGTAGCCGGCCAGGGTGTTTCGTGGAGCTCGCTGCTGCATGGTGAGGTCCGGATGCTCTGGACCCTTTACCGGAGCATACATCTCCTCGTAGCGCGGATTGTAGGTTACCTCCTTGAGCGTGGGATCCAGAGTTCGGGGGACGGCCGATGCTCCAAGGGGAATCACCGTTGGCGCCGCACAAACAGCAATGGAGTTGGAGAGCGAGTGCGTCTTGTCCACGGGCAGCAGGTGATCCGGAATGGGAGTGGAGGACTCCGATTTGGCGGCGCTGGCGGTGTCCTCATGGTCGGATTCTCCCTCCGAGGAACTGGCGTATGTCTGAAGGCCCAACATTTATAGGCTGCGGACGAACTCAGTGTACTTGTTCACGAAATGCTGAAGGTAGATCACGACCAGAGTGTAGAGGAGGAATACAAAAACGTTAATGGATATTTCCATTCGTCTACACGTTTGCGTTTAGCATTAGTTGCTTTAGTAAAGGTAACAAAAACATAATTATATATATATCAAAATTAGTGATGGTACTATCGGCTATCAATGTTATCGAATGGCAATGTTACGGTCTTACTAATTGATCACGACAATTTGTTTAAAGCTTATTTAAAAAGTTTAAAGCTTATTTAAAATTGTTCAAGTTATAAAGACATAGTATTTTGATATAAAGTTAAAAATATTAGAGAAGGAATTTACTTGCTGTCACAGTGCATTTTGCTTCACACCCTCAAATCAGTGCTGATCGATAACGGGTAAGGAAATGTTTGCCCATACGGTCATACTAAGCCACACAGGGAGCTGGGTGCAAAATTTTTGCAATTTCGGATCGCTGGAAATACGATCTCCATCAGTCACAGACTGTAAGTTACCCAGTCAAGATGACGGCAGGCAAGCACTGGTCCTACGACATCCTCAAACAGATCGTCATCGATGAATGCCCCGAGGATGTGGAGCAGTTGAAACTAATATTTGCCAATGAGATTGGTTCGCAACGCAGATTGGATTGCATACACTCCATTCAAGATCTAATTGACTGTCTGGAACGGGCGGACGAACTGGCCGAGGACAATGTGGAGCCACTAAGCCGGATGTCGGGCAATATTCCGCAGTTCATCGAGGCACTGAATGGCTACACACCGCCGGAAAACTTCCGTGCACATCCGGTGAATCAGTACCAGGAACTCCGATTGGCCGAAGAACTGCGCCAGCAACTCCGGATTGCTCCAGCATCACAGGGTGCTCATCCATCAGTTTCGGCAGTAGCTGCCGCTGGGCCCCCATCAGCAATCCAAAACTATACCACCCCAGCTGCTTTAACGGATCGCAAACGCACGGCGGTCTTTAAGAAAATATCCGAGGAACTGGGACGCTACTGGCGACGACTGGGCCGATCGGCGGGCATTGGCGAGGGCCACATGGACACCATCGAGGAGCGCTTCCCGCACGATCTGAAGTCGCAGATACTGCGACTGCTGCAGCTCATCGAAGAGGACGATTGCCACGATCCCAAGCACTTTCTGGTTCGTCTGTGTCGGGCTTTGGGCGATTGTGGTCGCAATGATCTGCGTAAGAACGTGGAGCAGATAATGTCATACTAGAACGCATTCCGGTGTGCCGTAAATTAAATACTACACGAGAATTTTCATTTTATATGCATTTTGTTATGATACTAGTTATTGATGTGCTGGAAACCAACAAAGGTGCCTTTATTGTAATTGTTCATATTTGATTTCCTAAGTAATAATGTTATAATGTCATAAAAAAACCAATGTGAAATATTATAAAAGCTAAAAACAATATTATAAATTATTATTAAAAAGGCAGTTAAACTAGTTTTCCAAACCAACACAAAGACAAACATACGGGTTATCTTACGTTAAAAAAATTGTATTTCCCCTTATTGAATGGTAAAAGTAGAGCCATATAAATGTAGTTCTAAACATTGCTTTGTAACAAAACGCAAGTCTCATAGCAAACTAATTGTAATGGTGCTAAAATTATTTATTACACAAAAATAAAAAAAGTTTGGCAAACAATTTTGCTTTTGTTATCAACAAAACCCAGTTATTAAATTTAAAATTACCTTACAAGTGGGTCACACCATTTTGCCGGGAAACTATCGAGTCTGCAAATATCGATAGGCACAGCTGGTGGTCTATCGTTTGCTTCGGGGTGAATGAATAGCAACACGTGCGCGCAATATTTTATTTGGGAATTCTGTTTTTAGCCAATAAAGTGTATTAGAAAGTCAACTTAATTAGCACTATGTCTATCCGGGAGAAGCTGCTGATGAAGAAGATCGTAAAGAGGGAGAAGATGAAGAAGGAGCTCTCGCAGAAGAAGGGAAACAACAAGGCCCAAAAGCAGGAACAACCCAAACAAAATGGCAACAAACCCAGTAAAAAACCGAAGAAACTCAGTAACAAGCATGTGGCCGAGGATCAGGGTACGATTGAAAACATGTGTGCATTGTAAATATATTTAAGATACATTTTTCATTCCGCAGATGACGATTTAGAGGAGGATTTCCTGGAGGCGCCGCTGCCCAAGAAGAAGCAACAAAAACAGCCTCCAAAAAAGCAACAAATCCAGGTGGCGAACTCGGATTCGGAATCTGATGAAGATGACGATGAGGATGATGATGAGCAGGAGGATGAGGATGACGAGAATAGCGATTTGGACGAAGAAGCCGAAGATGATGAGGAGGATGTAGCCAGCGGGAGTGAAGATAATGACCAGGAAGGTCAGTAAAAGAGTCGATATTCAGAAAATTCTTTCTGACTACCAACAACAATGATGATTTTTAAAGGCGAATTTGAGCAGCCCTGAAGCAGCGAGTTAATGTTGCCCAGAGCAGGCATGAAATCCATTTAAAAACCAACTGAATTAAATCAAACGTGTATTTACTGTAGCCTTGATAAACCTTAGCTAACCAACAGTACTTCTTTTAGATGAAGATGAACCTGTGCCAGCCAAGAAAACGAAGTTGCTTCCAAACAAGTCCAAGGCACAGAATGGCAAACCGGCTAAAGATGACGAACCATTTACCGTGGAATCCTCTCTGGCTGCTCTGGATTACCGGGATTCGGATGATCGCAGCTTTGCCTCACTAAAGGGTGCCGTATCCGAGGCCACATTGCGAGCCGTTAAGGAGATGGGCTTTACCGAGATGACTGAAATCCAAGCCAAATCACTGACACCCCTACTAAAGGGACGCGATCTGGTGGGTGCTGCTCAGACGGGTTCCGGCAAAACGCTGGCCTTCCTGATACCCGCCGTCGAGCTGATAAACAAGCTGAGGTTTATGCCACGCAATGGAACCGGCGTGATTATCATCTCACCTACGAGAGAGCTGTCCATGCAGACTTTCGGTGTCCTCAAGGAACTGATGGCACACCACCATCACACTTATGGCTTGGTAATGGGCGGCTCCAATCGCCAGGTGGAGAGCGAGAAGCTGGGCAAGGGCATCAACATTCTGGTGGCCACACCGGGACGTCTGTTGGATCATCTACAGAACTCGCCCGACTTTCTGTACAAGAACCTACAGTGCCTGATTATCGATGAAGTGGATCGGATTCTGGAGATCGGTTTTGAGGAGGAGCTCAAGCAAATCATCAATCTGCTGCCAAGTGAGTTACGAATATCTATAAAGGGTTCTAAGTGTATTTTTAACTTATCTTAACCTTTTAGAACGCCGCCAGACGATGCTCTTCTCAGCCACTCAGACGGCTCGCATCGAAGCGCTTTCCAAGCTGGCCCTTAAGTCGGAACCAATTTATGTGGGTGTTCACGATAACCAGGACACGGCGACCGTAGATGGACTCGAGCAGGGCTACATTGTATGCCCCTCGGAGAAGCGACTGCTCGTGCTCTTCACGTTCCTCAAAAAGAATCGCAAGAAGAAGGTTATGGTGTTCTTCTCATCCTGCATGTCCGTCAAGTACCACCACGAACTCTTCAACTACATTGATCTGCCAGTGACATCTATCCACGGTAAACAGAAGCAAACGAAGCGAACGACCACCTTTTTCCAGTTCTGCAACGCGGAATCTGGCATTCTCTTATGTACGGATGTGGCTGCTCGTGGATTGGACATTCCGCAAGTCGATTGGATTGTGCAGTACGATCCTCCAGATGATCCACGCGAGTATATTCACAGGGTCGGCCGAACGGCCAGAGGATCGGGCACCTCGGGTCACGCCCTGCTTTTGATGCGACCCGAAGAGCTGGGATTCCTGCGGTACCTCAAGGCCGCCAAGGTGCCGCTCAATGAGTTCGAGTTCTCATGGCAGAAGATAGCCGATATCCAACTGCAGGTGGGTGCTTTGTTGGTTTTTTATAAGAGATACATCAATATTCTAAACCATGTATTATGTTGATCTAATTCTTATGTTTCTTTTCCGTTGCAGCTGGAGAAACTGATCGCCAAGAACTACTTCCTGAACCAGTCGGCCAAGGAAGCGTTTAAGTCTTATGTGCGCGCGTACGACTCGCACCAATTGAAGCAGATCTTCAATGTGAATACGCTGGACCTGCAGGCGGTTGCGAAAAGCTTTGGATTCCTGGTGCCACCCGTAGTTGACCTGAAAGTGGGCGCGGCCAAGCGGGAGCGACCGGAAAAGCGAGTGGGCGGCGGCGGTTTTGGGTTCTACAAGAAAATGAACGAGGGATCGGCCTCCAAGCAGCGACACTTCAAGCAGGTCAACCGCGACCAGGCCAAGAAGTTTATGCGTTAGTTTTTTAGATTTAGGCAGAGATACTGTTGCATATTGTAAATCTGCTGCTTTACTTGAGTGTGTATACAAATAGGCAAAAGATATAAAACTAAATGTTTCCAATTTACGAATTCACGTAACCATGTTGGCCGGGCATCATCATCAACTGGCATCCCACTCGATCTCTCGATGCGGATGTGACTTCTCCTTATTTGCCGCTTGTTGTTTCAAATGTTTATTGTTGTCGCCGTCGAGTCGAGCTGAGTCGCCTCCCCAAATTTGGCCGATTGCGCTTTTTATTTCGTCTGTCGCTCGCTAAATTGTGCCACTTTATGGCCCACGCTCGCCCAGTCCCAGACCCAGTCCCTCCAAAACTTAGGCGACGCTCTTGTTGGCCCAACTAATCGATAATCGGGCGCTTAATCAATTGCTGGCTTACGGGCGCCCACTGCGCACTGCATTGGCCAATTGAAACAGCATTGGGCAGCGATCAATTTTCCAATAAAACTTGTTTAGGCCGCCTTTTTAAAGAGCTTCCATCACCCACATTACCAAAATATATTTGCGGGCTACCTTGGCTTGAATCTATAGCAATGTCTTAACTAAAGTTCGTAATAATAGGTTTTGAAGGTAAGAACTAATGTGGAGTTCTATGTATTTTAGTTTTTAAATAAGTCCATGTTCTAGTAGTGCAACTTATGAGAACATTGGAACTTTCGGAACTATTTAATATTATTTCGGTCTGTAAATAATTAAAAAACATTGCTCGCGTTATGCAATTCAAAAAGTAGAGTTTTAGGACATATTTCATAAGGTGTATAGTAAAATAGTAGTTTACACACATTTACTTAATAATCAATAGTTTTTAAGCTTACAAAACTATGAACTTTGAAATATTTTCGAGTTATTGAGTTTCTGTAAGTGCGCAACACTCGGCGGCCATCGAAATGTATCAGCAAATTGGATGTTGTTGGGGGCGTGGGCGTGACGAACGTTGGGTACCACAACGCCCACACCCACAACCGCCCCCGCCCCGTCCCGCCCATTCGCCCCTAGCACTTGTTTCTAAACGCGAAGCTAACGACGTTTGGGTGAATGAAAAAGCCAACACGCTCGAGTTTACTCATTCATGCGCACTTTGCGGATCGTGGTTAGATTAGTTTTGCCCAGACTGCGTCTTGTTGGATCCAATCAGCTGGTCAGGCACAATATGCAAAGTGGAAACTTTATGAATGGATTCGAGAAATGGAAGACGGGGAACGCGGGACGTGGGAAGGGGTCCACCTGTGGGTCGCGGCGTGTGACACAGAAAATGCATTCGCACAGGTGACAAAAATGGGAATAATATAGAAACTACATTTAGGTAGCCAACAAATGAATGTCTCATGATAAACATAAGCCTGATGGTATGAATTCGTGTATAAACTTTCAAGATGTAGTGTTGTCTATTGTAACAAAATTTTATTCATTTGTGAGCCGAAACCTTAGAGCACCACTTATGAACATGGCCAAAATCAAAGCACTTTGGGCACTTTGGTTGCCTGAGCGAGTTGCGCATGTGGTCGAGTGTATCTGACAGATACTTACTAGCTGTGTGGGTGTTGCAGTTCGGTTTCTTTGTGGTCCCCCAAAACTGACAAACTCAAATGTTGGAAAACCGGAGGCGCCCACATGGCCGCGTCTCATGCGTAATGGAAACAACTGGGAACTGGTTAATGGTCGACTGCCGCCTGGCTTTTGGCCAACATATTGCTAATTACACACTCTCACACCAGTGGTTTGTTTCTGTGTCGGCGGTAAATTAAGAAAAGAATGCTTAATTTGTCGTTTGAGCCACAAAGCCGCTAAATGTCTTGGCCAAATTTGCATTCGACACAAGCGTGCAGTGAACAAAAAAGGATTCGCGACCAGCAAAGAGTGTTAGCGCCGCCTGGCAGGTTGTCTATCGTTGGAACCACTTCCTTATAAGCAGGCGAGTTGGTCAAACAATTGAATTGCATTTGGGATGCAATATCTCTCTGTTAATAGCCAAATAAAGAGTAATAACTCACTCGTCTTGAAGGCGGCGAAAGAGTTGTGGGATATTTCCAAACATAGATTTCGATTTGGGTTTTTGTATTAATGGGGCATCAGCAGTTGCCATCGAAAAATAATAACAATACATTTTATTTCTCTAAAAATATCTCCACCTTTCGACTTGAATTTACACTACGGTTCAACCAATTCAAACATTTTTCTCGCCTCACTTTACAGCTGCTGGAAAACTTTTGTATTGCGGCCATTTCCGTTTTCCAAAACCGAAAGTGCTGCCCGAAGCGATCTACTCACAATGAAAAACACCACATTCAAAAAGGGCAAATTCCAAAGCCCTAGTGGGATTATCGGCCCACGGAAAACTTGGCACTTTGGATCTGCCAGATGGGCAATACTTGGCAACGTGGGTGTGCGGATTGGAAAGGGCTTTGGTCGGTGCCCCAGAGATTTAAATTTGATATCCATAAGCATACAATGTCTCAATCGCCACGCACATTGACACATTTTTCAATGGCAGTAAAACTGTATAATGGGGTCGTACAACACATTTAATGTCGGCCCACACACAGGCCAATGCGATCGGTTTGAGCCAAGTGCACACAAATTTGGTGGGACTTGTGGCCGGGCTGTGAAACTTGGCCAGGTGAGGTCCGGTGGTGGGAGTCTGCTTTCCAATGGAACGGCCAATCCGATGTCCATCCACATCTGTGGCCACTTTAAACTTTCACGTCTCATTTTGGTGCATGCGGGTTAAAAAAAAATCGGATCTTGCCCCTTGCCTGCAGGTAGCTGGATGGATGTGAGGGATTCTCTTTTATACCAGAATCGTGGTATTTTCCCATCTGCATGAGAATCAGCTTTTCAGTCTTAAAATAAAAAATGTATATATTGTAAATTTGGTATTATTTTGTAAAAGGATTCGATATTTAATTGTTTTCAGTTTTGAAAAACAAATACGTAATATCTTACTACTAAGTTATATGTTTGTGAAATTCGCCAACCACACGGAAGCCAGCGAAAAGTGTCTTTTGCGATGGAAAGTAAAAGTTGTCGCCGGCCTAGGGTCGCTTATATGGTGCGTCCATCGAAACGCTCGCGAATGCCAATTTTCCCACATACATTTCGAAGTTTCTGCGACAAAGTTAACCAAGTTAACACCAACATTTGGCCAGTACGGGTTCGGTGGCTCATTTGCATGGGATTTTGGGCTTGGGGCCCAGATATTAGCCCCCGCATATGTCCGGCGAAACAAAATGCCACTTGGTTCTAATCTGCCAGCAATTTCCGTGCGCAATTAATGCCTCCACAGCGCAGTGTCTTAATTAATTCAAAAGCAACGCCAACGCGCCAAATGGTGGCCCACCAAGCGACCAGGTGGCAACGCTGAATGTTGTTAGTCAATTAATTAACTAACTAGGCACTATTTGGCCGAATATTACTAACCCACCGTTGTATTTAGTTGTTTTTAACTTTTTTGGTCATTAATTAACTTTAATGCTCATATTTTCTGGCAAAATATGTGTAATAAGTTAACCAGCTGCGCAACTCTGTTTGCCCGGGGTGGCAACCCTTGTGGTGATCTCGCATGCTGACAGTAGGGTGCGAGAGAGCCAAGTCGGAGACAAGCTGACGTCACAAAGTTAATAATGGTGTATTTTCCATGGAAATGGTTATAGACATATTCACTATATTTGATTATATTGTTGATTTTTGCTAAGTTTATTCTTTCACGAAATTATTAAATTTATGATTATAGGCAATTAATGTTATATGTAATGAAACTGTCTGCAGACCAAATATATTATTAAATTAAATATTATAATCAACCGCAATTTGTGACGTCACTGGGCGAGAGAGCGGAGAGGCGAGTGCACACTGAAACCACCACCCCGCGATCGCACAGCCATGATCTCACACTTACAACGTTTTGTGCTCTTCGCTTCGCATTCAGTTTCTTTTTCTCTTTCTTTGCGCACGGTTCAGTGGTAGGAAAACTAGGAGGAATCGTTCAGTAAAGTCCCGAGATCCGTTCGCTATTCCCCGACTCGAATAAAATCCATATACACATATATATCAAATAAACAAAGGAAAGGAGTCCTTAGAAAAGAGAAGTGTGTTTCAAAAACAAAATACTTTCGAAACACAACGAAATGAATAAACCCAAAGCCATCCAGCAGCAACAACAAATACATAATCAGCAACTGTGCATATTTCAGCGAATTTAGCAGCGTTTCGAGATCGTTTTAGTGGCCTTGTTCACTCGGTACATATCCAGGCAAAGGAATTTATACCTTTCTATCTTCAAAACGTAGAAATTTGCGTATAAAATTTATTTAAATACTTTTTTGTTGTATTTGCTGTTGCAGCAGCCAAATGAGCGAGGGAGAGAGAGAGAGGCAGCTATTTTGACATTCTGCTTTCATTCATCTCCGTCGAATATACAGTTTTACTGTATTTGTCCGTGTGTGAGTGAGAGATCGCCGAGGAATTTTCTGCCTTCGCTTTCGACTTGCTGCGCTCTCTCGCTCTCTCAGTGTCTCTCGCGCTGCATTGTTGTTGCTGCCGATCGTAAAAAATACTTTTGGGCGGAGTTGTTTTCATTTCGTTTTCCGTTTTCAATATCGCTCGCGTACGAAATGTAATGAATTTCCCAACTCCCACAGTAACGTGTTAAAAGTAGCAAAAACGAATTAAAAAAGAAGTGTGCAATAAGTAAAGAAAGCAGAGACCCAAGGAAAGTTGAAAGTTGAAAACCAGAATCTCGTCGAGAACAAAACAAAAAGTCCCCAAAAACACACACACGCACGCAACAAAATGAGTGTCTGTGAGAGTAAAGCCGTTGTGCAACAGCAACTGCAGCAGCACTTGCAGCAACAGGCAGCCGCAGCAGTTGTTGCGGTCGCGCAACAGCAGCAGGCTCAGGCCCAAGCTCAAGCCCAAGCCCAAGCTCAGGCCCAGGCTCAGGCGCAGCAGCAAGCGCAGCAGCAGCAGGCGCCGCAGGTGGTGGTCCCCATGACCCCGCAGCACTTGACCCCGCAGCAGCAGCAGCAGAGCACACAGAGCATCGCCGACTATCTGGCCCAGTTGCTCAAGGACCGCAAGCAGCTGGCCGCCTTCCCCAACGTCTTCACCCACGTCGAACGCCTGCTGGACGAAGGTAAGTCCCTCAAACTCAAAGCGAGTACAATCCTTCTAAGTCATCTTGCAAAAGTCATAGTTACCAGGGCAGCATTATCCTAATCGGGGATCCAAGAGTCAGAGGAAACTATACAAAACCACTAGTTACGTTTTATGAATCGACGTGTTTTTCCTTTCAAACCAGCAGTCTTATTGTGGTGCATAATTTGTTTACACAACTTTCCATTCCTTTTGCCGTATTATCCTTTTATTTATCAAACACCTGAGGTAATTCTCGTTTTATGCCAGTTCTAACATAGACAACGCAAAATAGCAAATTTAGATATCCTTTTTATTACAACTTTTTATTTTTTTGCATTACAACTTTGTGTCGATAATGTGGTTTCTCTTAGAGATTAAAATTTTTGAAAGGAACATTAAACTATTTTAGCAAACAAATCAAAGTCATTTCAGTTTGGTTTATATCTCATTTTTGATTGTTCAAAAAACAATGGCCAAGCATTTTAGCTCCGGGAATTTGACGAATTTATTGTAAACATGTATTGCAGAGATTGCAGGTATTTGGAAAACATTTACTTTGGTTAAACGGGAAAGATTAAATGGGTAAATATGTTATTTTAAAGTGGTGACTTCATTTTCATTCCTAAGTGTCAGGCATGTTACAGATTAGGGCGCCTCTAACCAAGTGATCACTGTAGTTCAATCAGTTTTGGGGCATGGATCTCTGGGTGTCTGGTTGTCTCCTCGGCGTCTCCTTTTCGGCATCTTCGCCATCGCGGGTTCCCGAGTTCATTCCACCTTACAAACCCAAACGAGATGTTTGTTATTTTTAGTTACTTCCTTTTTGTGCGCCTCTTCGCGAGCGCACACTATTCTCCGCGCTCTCTCCTTTTGTGTTCTTGGCCCCACACTTGACTGCCAGTGCAGCCTTTGTTGTTCTTATTATGAATTCTTTGTTGACTCGGCCATTCGTAAACCAAAAAGGAGGGCGGCGGAGACTTGGAGAGTCGCCGAAGGAGATGCGAAACCCCAGGGGGGAACCCCCAACACAGAAAGAAACATAAATGTGATGTGATATGTGATTTGATAAGATCATTTTATTCACAACTTCAACTCAAATATCAGCATGTTTTAATATGTGATATATCAAAAATGTTTGAATCTGAAAAATTTTGATTTAGCAACGATCTGATTTGCTCTGTGAACTAAAAGTGTAGCAAACTTATCTGAAGGATGCCCAAATTAACTCAACTGCCCACGCTTTGCCTCGAAAACCAAAAAACCAAAAAAAAAAAGGAAATATGAATAAATAAAAGACAGCGAAGCAAACACGCCGAAAGGCAAACCAACAAAAGTCAACTTTCGGGGCGGGATAGGGGCGGGGGCGTGGCACTACCTGGTCGCATCTTGTATCTTGTATCTCGCATATCGGAGCTCTCGTTTCTGTATTTGCCCAACATCTGTTGCCCATATGCAGGCCGGCCAAGAGGGTGTGTGTCGCCTCGTAATGACAAAATTATGTTGCACAGATACACAGATTCAGATACTCGTGGTGCGGTATTTGCGGATTGCTAGGTACCGCTAGATTGCCTGGGTACACTTATTGTACAGAATATGGTATGGATTACTTTAATATATGTAAGTTCTTTCCCATATCACTTGATCACTTTGTTTACAATTATATTGAGATTTAAACTACGTTTAATTACTACAATTAATCTGGAAATGCGATAGCAAATCGACTGTATAATAAGATGCAAGATCTTTATTTCTTTCTTCATTAAGAAAATATCCAAGAAGTCGGTGGTAGTCTTATCTAGACCAATCAGAGTATTGATTACCAGGTACCAGGTATCGCACAGTCGGAAAACTCGCCCAAAAGCTTATATTCTTGTTTTGGTTTTGTCTCGGCATAGCTGCAAACTAGTTTGCCTGTCTACAAATTGTATTTGCTAAAAGCAAAGCGTTGACAATTTGTAAAACTCGTTCCACCAGACTACAAAATCCAAAGAAGTGAAAAAATACGCAAAACAAAATACAGATTTCAAACCCACCTCGTTGGCTTATCAGCTTAGTGGGAGGGTGTCGGACTGGATTTGGGATTTGAGATCTGGGACCTGGGAACCCGTGTGCCGTCCACTATATACGAATACTGACCGTATTCGAATGCTACTTGGCCCGACCGCTAACGGCTTTCAACTTTTCAACTTGCTAGAAGTTTTTGTGCTTTTTTCCATTTTGCAACTTTCTCTTTTCAATTGCTGTCGTCGCTGGGCTGTGTTTTTGTTTTCGTTAGCTTGAAATGCGGGCCAAATCCAAACCTCACATTCACATGCGGTCTTTCAGGAAACCCAAAGGGTTCCAAATTTATTACCCGAACTGCCTCAACTGGAATTTTATATGTCATTTCGTTGATTCTTTTAACCCATTTCCCTTGGGTTTCATACGTTTGCTTTTAATAAAGGCACAATTCGAACTAATCATGATCTGCTCAAATAGCGTCTTGGATTTTAATACGTACTTAACTTTATTTCATGCATTATTTTCAGACAAAAGCAATCGCCTATAAAATTGCAAATTTATTATAATTTTACTTAATCATTTCGAGAACATACATGCAATTGGTTGACTTTTTATGTGTGTGTTACTAGCAAAAAAAAAATGTTAAATAGCTTAAAATATTTTTGAAATTTACCTGCATACACTTTGTGTCTGTCAGCGATATTGCGAGAGATCTAATTAGGTTCCTGCCTTACCTCAAGCAACACTAACATCAGCAATAGCCGCTTTTTGAGGTTGCGGTTGCTGTTCTTTTTATTTTGTTTTTATTATTGCGGGTGTGCAGCTAAGTTTGCTTCAGGTTTTGGACGTGGGGCTCTGCTCGCAATCATCAGTTGGCTACCTGTTGGGCGCTCGCCCGTTCACTTGAAATGCACAGCCTGCGATTACATTTGAATGGCTGTCTGTGTGGAAATATCTGCGTATTTACTGTGCGTTTTACAGCTGTAAGGCACTGCAGATGGAGTACAAGAATATCATATATTTCAAAACTAAAAGGGTTATTTTTTTATATTTAATCAGCTGGTAATAAATTAATTTAAAGCTATAAATATTTTAAGACAATCCGGTTAAAAGTATTCATCTGAGAACTGGATTTGGTTAAGTGATTGTTTTTGGCTGTCAAGAATGTTTTCATTAATATATGATCTTTGAACTAAAATCAATTGATATTTCTCTACTGCCGAAGCACACTGTACATTTATAAGTATTTGAGCATACTATGCCTTCTGTTTGTTTGCCGCCTTTTTTTCGTCTTCATTCGTTCAACGCTTTTGGCACTGCTGACATAAATTTTTGTTGTTATTTTGACGAGTGTGTTGTTTGCTTTTTGGATCTCTGACTCACGCCCCAAACGAAATAAAAAGAAGAATAACTTTTGGCCGACAGCAAAGGCAGGCAGTCGCATTGTATCTGTTAGATATGTAGCTATAGCTCTATGACACACGCCGCTGGAGCACGTTTCTTCGCCCGAATCTGTATCTGTATCTTAGCCGTATCTGTATCTGTATCTGTTGCTTTCGGCTCTCCGCTATTCATAGTCGTCGCATTTTGCACAGTTGAAGTGTGCCTAGACTGTGTGAATAAAAAATGACGACCAGACGTCAAGAGGCCCGAGCAAAAGCTCTACGATCTCGGATCTCGGATTACCGGCGACCAAGCATAACTGCACGTACTATATCGCACTCGGAGATATAATTTTTGTCTCGCAGATATCACATCTTCCGCATGACGTTTGTTTACCTGGCCAGAGGACAGCAAACAGTCATCTGAAGCCCCTAGATATGATAAATTTCTAGTTTTTGTTTTCGAATTCGGTGGGGCCCACACCTGGGCGTTATAATTATAGAAATTGTGCTCGCTGTTACTGCAACCCAAGGTGTATATCCACATACATCTGTCAGATACGCATTCAAGTTTGTATCATGTGCAGCGTACAACCTGAGAGATAAAAGCCAGAAAAGAGCAGGCCAAAATCAAATTACGTACACCCGCAACGTGAATGTTTATATGACCGATCTATGTATCTATATATATACATATATAAATATATATATATAGGCACAGAAGCGTGTATATATAGTTTGCCGAATGTGTTTCTCGGCATTTCTCGGATACAGAATTTTTTCTCTTTCACTCCGTCCGACATTTTTCATGAAAATTTGAAATGTGTTTCATTTCATCTAAATTTAGATTATTGGAAAATGGGTTTTCGCCTGCCACCATAGCTGTTGGAATTCTGTTTCGTTGGATTTTCACCGTTTAGGGCGTTGGTTTTCTTCTGATCAAAAAAAATGTGATTTTGAAGGCCTGGCCTAACGATTGGTAGAGTCATTAAAATCGGGAACTTGTTGACATTAATGCGGCTGCTGGTCTTCGGATTCGAGTTGAATGCAAACACAGTGAAGCCGAAAGGCAAACAAATGATTGGAAATGATTGGCCCATCCTCGCTTGAAAAAGATACATTTGAGCCATTCCATTGATCATCGTTTGGTTTATTTTGCAAAGAACCCAGTTCGACTTATAAAACCTTAAATTTATGATAAGAAACTTATTATAGATTTCCACTCTTTTTATTACAAATAACACAAGTTGTTTGTATATTCGTACTCACAATTTATAATAAAATGAGCCCGATATTTTTTTCGGTGCATCAGAAATAGCGGCAAACTGCCATGAGCATTTTAATTTAGTATTTTCATAGGCACGGCTTTCGAGTTTGGGTATGAGGTTCCCTAACTGACGTGCTCATAAATTTGTTGACAATTGTTATGCGGAACGCGTAACCCTCCACGTTTTCCCCTCTACCTTTCATACCGCCCGCACAATAGCGAATCGACCCCAAATGATTCCGTGCGATTCCCTACGATCCAATCCAGTCGGATTCGATTCGATTCGATTCGAGCCCCTGCCCATACACGTCTCATTGCGTTTTCAAATTCAATTAAAATCTTTTGTCA